GTGAGGGGGTAGTTTGGCCCTTCAGTGACTACGTGGCACCTCTGGACCATTGCACAACACCTCGACACCACGTAGTTTACCAAATCAGTCGGACACACCTTGGACGTCTTAAGAGAGTGAGCACCTAGCATCACGTTGGCTAGGGCCAAGGAGTTCATAGCCTTATGTGGCGTAGTGGAGTAGACCAGGGACCTTTCACCAACCTGACAAGGTCCAAGGTGGCCGCCTATGTAATGTGGTGACCGACTTTTTTTACGTGTGATTTATCGTTTCTGATTTTTCTAGGATCACATTGTCTGATCGATAGGATTGACTTCTGTGCCACCCACTTTGGAGGTAATCGGATAAGCCTCATCACTATCCACTAAAACCACCTCCAAGGGTGGTGGGCCAATAAATCACATCCTCCCCCGGAGATTTCAGACGTGCTACGTGAGACTCATACCTATATAAAGGCACCTCCTTCAACCACAGAAGGTATGTGCAATTGTACATTCAACACACTTGCATTTTAACTCTCTTGCTCTTTTTTATTCATCGTTGATTTAAGCATTGGAGTGTCCACCCCAAGTAAAGAATTAAGGCACTTTGACACTATTCTCTTACAGTTTAGCTTGCCGATCTCATCAGCCCAACGTTCGAATTATTCTCTAACAGGAAGCTACCAGGTCGTGCACCATTAGATATCATTGATCTTAACCATTTTCGAGTTTAAAATAGGTAATTTCCTAGAGGGTTGTGTTTCATCGCATTATAGCAGTGCAAACACCTCTGCAATACAATGTCAACATGTCATGGAAAGTTTCTAGGTTTTACATTAAGGTTGGTGCGTGGCGTGAGGAGAAAATCCGATCTCATTGCACACTGAACCCTCTATACTATCCGATATCTATTGTTGGACCATTGGATGCTGGGTCCTGACTGCTGAGCCTCCAAACAAATGACAAGTAATAAAGTTATATTTATATAATCTCCAAATTAAAATCCTAAAACAAGCAATACTAAAATTAGAAAAAATAATTCAATGCAAAAAGACCCTTGCTTAATAAGTTAAGTTATAGTTCTCTCTCAAATCATGTCACCATGATTTTGAACCCATTAGGTAGCCAATCAACTGAACTTTCCAATTGCTTTTATAAATTAAAATCAAGGCATGTAGGCATGTTGAATGGATTTTGTTTGGGACTGTTCACATGGTTAATTCTTGAAGCAATTTTTTTTTTTTTTTTTCTAATTTGATTTAGGTGTTTGATTAGGTTGGATTTATGTAGAAGAATGAAACCCTGACCAATTTCATAGGCCATTTTGTTTGTTTTTCTTTTTGATATAGGAGACTGACTACGATAGATGTGTTATTAAAGCATACTAGCTAAGTACATCTGTACACTTAATGAGCACTGTAGTGGTGTTCATTAAATACATCTGTACACTTAATGGACCATTTCAGTTTATACCAATTGGAATAGAGATGTGTGGCTGCGAATTAGGGCGGATAGAGAGTGTAGGAAAAGTGAATAGTGAATCCCGTTTGTATTAAATATGGCATTTTTTTTACACTGTTATGTGGATTGATCAACACTATATCGTGAATCCGTCCACACTCCACACTATCTCATACAATATATTCATGCTTATATCTTATGAATAGGCTCGCGTTAACATGTTTTTTCTAAAATAAGTGATCTCATACTACAATGTTTAAGGGTTTTTTATTAGCTCCACTGTTTAATTAAGAATCAAAAGTTGAGCTCCAACTAATTACATTGGTTGGTTGTTTAGCTATTGCTTTAATTTCTTTGTGTGTGAGAAACATAAAATCAAACTTGAACTTTGACTTCCACACACTTTGTCTACGTTACAGAACAACTCTTCTACTATGATGAGGTGTGGATAAGAGCACACCATCCAATTTATTTTCCACACTTGTTCCTTAAATTGCTCTCAACCCACTTCAAAGTTCAAGCATAATTTACAAGATAGGTGTCAAAATGATTATGTTGGTAAATTAGTGTGTATAGGGGGTGCAAGTTGGGTAACTGATCTAAAGATTTTAACAAATGCACAACTGGGGCCCGCCTGCTTACAGCCCTTAGTGTGCCTACCAAATCTCGTCACCTCTGTTTGAAACCTTAAGGCTATGTTTGGTTTGAAGGAAAAAATAAAAAAAGGAAAAAAAAGTTAGGAAAACCTTCACAAAACATACAAGCGTCCAAACCAGGGTCTTATTTAATTTAGTAGACTAAATTAGGTTAGATTTGTAATTGAACAACACTTTTATTAACGAGATTGATCGCCAAACAAATGGAAATTATTGAAAGCTTTGCATCGAGTCTTTTATTCCAGTTAGGGAACCAAAATAAATTTGATTTATGTTTTGAATAGAAAACAACTTGATTTTCAAGTTAAAGTGGAACCATTAGGGGTGCTTATCAAAAACTGAAAAACTGAATCAAATCGAAAATTCCCATTAACCAAATCGATTAATTCGGTATTTTTTTGAAAAGAATTGAAGATAACAGTTGAGTTTTACTTAGTCAATATGAAAACTGGCAGTTAACTAAATCGATCAAGAATGTGTATAATCGGGTTGGACTCAGATTGGAATTAGGTCAGGCCAGATTTGGGCTACCTAAAGACTAACCCCAGGCCCAGCACAAAAGATTTAAAAAAAAAAAAAAAAAACCCAACCCGTTGGACTCGCTCAATGTCATTGATGCTAATTACTTTGACATGGTACTTTTCTTAGCCCGCCGAGCTACAGTGGGCGGAATAACCAAGTACCAAAACCACCGTGTCTGAAAAATAGGGTTTCATAATAATGTAACGCGGGTCATGTGGACCCATACCCGAGCTTTTGCCGTTGGTATATATGGTTAACATGGAGAAAAGTTAGTAAAAATGGGTTTATGCAACTCAATGGATAATAATGTAATGGGTCATGTGGACCCATATCCATAGACAGGGTGGAATCCATGCAATGACGTACGACAACATGAAATTAGCCATGATTTTTCACAGGGCACAGGGCGGAGAAAAACAAAGACTTGCATAAACTCGTTGTTCACACTTACTTCACTTTTAGCAAAAGAGAAAGAAAAAGAAAAAGGTCGTTTCACTAGAATTTCTCACATCATCAAATAATAGCTCAAGCCTCAAACCCCCGGCCTTACTAAAGAGAAAAAAGAATATATATATATATATATATATATATCCATCCCCCTTGGCGATGAAATGATCCTCATATCGCCTGACGGCAAAAGCTGAGAAAGCAATCTGTTTTAATTTCTGTCCGAGATTTTGGAGCCAACGAATGATGGATACTGGAGTGTGGACAGTGACAGGGTGGAGTTAACATGGATTATTGGACGAGGGCTATAAGTGAATCATCATTCTTTCCCAAGAGAATATTGAAAGAATGGTTATTTTTTGAACGTAGGACTCGCAATCGAAGGCTTTACATGTTAATGCTGCTGCCCTTCCTATTATTGCTTTCAGGGATAAAACAAACAATTCCTAATAGATTTTATGGATTTCAAAAGGATGTATTGCCTTAGCATACATATATATATATATATATATATATATTCATATTAAAATCTATGTGAATGTGTATAGTCACTCGTCAGTGGTGGATGGATGAATGTGCATCAATCCATATGATGATATGAACCCGTAGACCTCCCCAGATTATTAAGATTCACAATGATTTCATTCATGTTGTTAAGCTGCTTCAGCCTTATACCGTAGATTCAGAAAAGTTGGGCTGTCTTTTCATGGGATGGGGGAGGGGGGTTCCCCCCCCTCTGTAGGGCAAATTTTCCAAGACTAGCACAATTTTGTTTGTGAAATTTACGGAATTATTTGTCTTTTGATGTTCAACGGTTTGGTTTTTAATTTTTTCTCTCTATTTACCAAAAAGACGATTTCAAGTTTGTTTGCAGTATGTAACACACATATACATCATTTCTGTCAGTTGCATACCGACATTCTAAGGCAAATACATTATTTCTGGTAAAAGCCCATTGGCCTTGGTGCTGGTGGACTCACTCTCATCATCATTACCATAATCAAAAGAGAGAGTTAAGCTCTCTCTCTCTCTCTCTGCAGTACATCTTTCCCTCCCATACTCCCTCTCTTTTCAAACCAAATGATTCATACTAGAAAATCTGTCTCCATGAACACTTTCATGCACATAATGCATGCAATAAATAGAGAGAAAAGAAAAATCCTGACCTAGTGACCTCCAAAAAAAAGAAATGACCTGTATAAATTCTTATTTTTTGACTTCTAATAACAAAACCAACAAGACAGCCATGAAAACAAAAGAAAAAAAAAAAAAAGCAGAACGTGTTGAAAAATTAGACCAATTAGTGACATTCTTTTTGTTGCTTAACAAACCCATTAGTCATCGTAGTTTGTTTTGCTTGGAACTTTCAAACTTCAACGTTTCAGACACCAAATCTCCTTGGGAAAATGTTGTATCTGTGTATAGCGTAATTATGCTAATGTAGTATAAAATAATGTTTCACAAAAAGCTTGTTAATGGGGGGCCCTTTGGTCATCATTCTTGGAATATTTCTACTTCATTACTGAAGACCCCACTCTCGCTTTTTTGTCTGGAAAACCAGGTGTTGACTACTTGCAAGCGAGAGAGATAAGTTGGAATATTGTTTTTATTAATACAATAATGCTCAGTTATATTACTTATTGCTTTATTATTTTTTTATATTTTATTTAGTAAAGCCTTTATCCTAATCCGTCTTGAAAGTAGAACCAAGTTGGCCTGCAGTGCTATAAGTTGAAAACAATAGTTTTTCCCTAATTTTGAATTTTAATTAGATCCTTGAGTTACAGACTCGTACTGAAGCTAGTACTGTTGTGAAGTGACTGGGTGGACAGTTGTCTTCTCTCCTTCAAATCTATCCAAGGCCCTGAGTCTGTAAAAAAACAACCCAGTTTTGGTTATCTGACCCTTCGCACCAGTAACCACTAGATTTGCGTGTCGATAAGGGCGGAAGAAGAAGACTTTTGGTAAAAATATAAAAATAATTAAACGGTTTCGGGGTAATGAGGAAGCCATGAAAACCTATTTCGGAAAATAGGTCGGTTTGCACTTTGGAGCAGGTTTTGGTTTTTAATTGCATCGGGTTTTTTAATGGGTTTTTAAGGGTCTTAAGAAAAAGGCAGTGAGAAGAAGGTGAGGAGAAAGCAAAAAACATGGTCTTTCTCAACTACACAGATCCCTATGGAATGCAGGAAGGCTACCCAGCATTGCTTGCTAGAGCTCATTCTTTTTGTTTGGTTTAAAGGGACTTGTTTTGTTCTCTTTACAGAGCTTTTGAAAGAGAGGGAGCGAGCGGGGAGCGGAATAGATTCAAGTGGGGTTGCTTTTGAAAGATGGATACATTTCTTCCATGGGTTCTGCAGCTAGAAAACAAAAAACCCCAGATTTCAAATGGAGGGAAGCAAGAGATTTTGGAATGATTAGTTTATTCGTTTTCCAATGATTGAGTTCCCTTGCAGCAAGAGATCCTTTTAAGAATCTCCAGATGTGAGAAAAAAGAAGACTAAAGAGAGAGAGAGAGAGATAGAGAGAGAGACGGGAGGTGTGGAAGGGGGGGAGAAGGAGATGAAATCCATGAATAGTAATAACGGCAACAACAATAACTGGTTGGGTTTCTCTCTCTCACCTCACATTAACATGGAGGTTCCTTCCGACCCTCATCATCGCCATCAACAACATAATCAATCACAGGCTCCTCCTGTAGTTGTTTCTACTGCAGTGCCAACAAGCTTTTTTCTCTCTCCTCAGCTAAACAACTCTGGTATCTGTTATGGGGTTGAAGGAGAAAATGGTGGGCTCTACTCCCACTTGTCCGTGATGCCACTGAAGTCTGATGGATCTCTATGCATCATGGAAGCTCTCAGTAGATCACAGCCAGAAGGTCTGCTTCTCTTCTCCTTCATTTATCTTTTGGGTTCTATTTTTACATAGCATTGTTTGTAAACCTCTCTAGAACCTTCTTTCTTTACTTTTCTGCGTGAAGGGATGGTTCCAACTTCATCCCCAAAACTGGAGGACTTCTTAGGTGGTGCAACCATGGGAACCCATCAATACGGGAGTAATGACAGAGAAGCAGCCATGGCTCTTAGCTTAGACAGCATGTATTACCAGCAAAATTCCGAGTCCGAGACTAACAGACAACACTCTCTTCACTTTCCCCAACAACACTTTCGGCAGCAACAACAGATTCAAGTTGAACAGAACCCATATTTCTCTGGACTAACAGGCCACGAAATGTACCAGACGGCATTGGAGGAGGAACCCAAGGAGACACAGATATCAGACTGCAGTCTCCAGCTCCCTCCAATGACAGATGATGGGATCCCGGGCCTTAAGACCTGGGTTGCTAGGCACTATTCCACTAACCATGCATTGGAGCAGAAAATGACCGGGTGCATGGGTGATGATGGGGGAGGGTCTTCCTCTATCGTTACGATGGGTTATGGCGACTTACAGTCTCTCAGCTTATCCATGAGCCCTGGTTCACAGTCTAGCTGTGTTACAGCTCCACATCAGATTTCACCCACTGGAACTGAGTGTGTGGCCTTGGAAACAAAGAAGAGAGGGTCTGGGAAAGTGGGTCAGAAGCAACCCGTTCATAGGAAGTCCATCGACACATTTGGACAGAGAACGTCGCAGTATAGAGGGGTCACAAGGTGAGTTCAAGCCAATTTCTTCTTTCCATTTATTTTCTACTTTGATTTGGGTTCTCCTGTTTTGCTCATGCTGTTTTTGTACTGGTTTGTTTTATTTCATTTCTGGTTTATTGCTTGAATAGTCTCTCTTATTAGTTTTATCAATTAAGCACTGAACTAATTTATTTATCTTTTGTATCGTTCGTCCTTTTCCTTGTTTATCTTCTGCACTTGCACCTTGTTTTCTTCTTATGAATTTATTAATAAGCCTGTTTGATTTGTCTCCATCAGGCATAGATGGACTGGTAGGTATGAAGCCCATCTATGGGATAACAGTTGCAAGAAGGAAGGGCAGACCAGGAAAGGAAGACAAGGTTAGTCAGAGAAAAGGGAACACCCCATTTACAGCTTCTCTTGGAAGTATTCCTTTCCATTAGGCCTGCAAATTTTTAGACTTCTTGTGTTGTTGGCCTGACTACGACTATGAATTCTGATTTGTCATGTTCTTGCTTCTTCGGGGATGCCATTCCTATCAATAATAACGCCTTTTCAGTTTACCTGGGTAAGTCTCTTTCTTTCTTAGCGTTAACGACGCTTTTCATCGAAGACCCTATTTGGCATCTTCGTTTAGTCATTACTCATTCCTTTGTTATGAACTGCAGGGGGTTATGATATGGAAGAGAAAGCGGCAAGAGCTTATGACCTGGCGGCGCTCAAGTATTGGGGACCTTCCACTCATATCAACTTCCCTGTATGATCCTATGTCCACTGGATCTATCATATCATCAGTCCATTGATGTTTTCGAGTTACTGAAATGCAACTCCACTGTTTTTTTTCTTATTATTATCATTCAGTTGGAAAATTACCAGGAAGAACTTGAAGAAATGAAGAACATGAGCAGGCAGGAATATGTTGCTCATTTGAGGAGGTATTTCTAGTTCTTCTCCCTCTTCTTTCTGTTATGTTGCCCGTATTCCCTTGTTGCTTTGTAAAAATATCATCCTTTCTTCTCGATGTTGCAGGAAAAGCAGTGGGTTCTCGAGAGGGGCTTCAATGTACCGAGGAGTTACAAGGTATTTTGCTGGTTTTCTTGCACATCAAAACAACCATATTTCTGAAAAAGAAAGAGTTGTCCCTCTGATATATCTATATCCGTTTGCTGTGTTTACAGGCATCATCAACATGGAAGATGGCAAGCTCGGATTGGCAGGGTAGCAGGAAATAAAGACCTTTATCTTGGGACATTCAGTAAGTTGTTCCAAGCTTAATTTCTTGACAACTGGGTTTCTTTACGGGCTTATTCGCGTTGTTCTTGATGCCCTTGAGTCGTCTTCATCTCGTATTCAAAAAATCAAACTCTGAAAGTCGCAGAGAAATGCTCTCGGCGCGTAGGCCCCCTTTTTTTTGAACATCTTATAAAAACTATCTTTTTTTTTTTTCTGTCAGTTGTGATGCTTTATTAAGGCTGATAAGCAACTATGCCCAGATTGTACAAGGCTGATTTTCAGAAAGGAGGAGCTTTTTATAAGGCTTCAATTTCTTTTTTCTATCTATTTTTTTTTTTCAGAGCAGATGAAAAGAAACTGATATCTCTGCAAACCTTCCACTCATTTATGTTTGATTTAAAGCTAATTTATGAATTAATAAGGAGTAAGGACTCTTAAGTTCTCAAAATCTGAACTTTGTAGGTACCCAAGAGGAAGCAGCTGAAGCCTATGATATCGCTGCAATCAAGTTTCGTGGGGTGAATGCTGTCACCAATTTTGACATATCAAGATACGATGTGGAACGGATCATGGCGAGCAATACTCTTCTGGCGGGAGAACTTGCTAGACGAAACAAGGAGATAGAATCCAACAATGAGGGCGTCGATCACCAATCTTCGGCCCAGATTAGCAACGGGGAAGCTAGTTTATCAGAGGAGAACAGTGGAAGTGGTCCGGAGTGGAAGATGGTGTTGTTCCAGGGCTCACATCAGCAACCAACGGCATGCGTTGAGCCTCTTGATCAGAAACCCATGAGCATGGGGAATTACAGGAACCCATCTATCTCAGCGGCCTTGCATGATCTAATCGGGATCGATACGGTGAACTCACCCCAAGGAGCCGATGAGTCGGCAAAGCTGGCCACCCACTTGTCAAATTCATCCTCTTTGGTCACTAGCTTGAGCAGTTCGAGAGAAGGCAGCCCTGATAAGACCGGCCTCTCGGTACTCCTTTCAAAGCCACCTTCGGCTTCCAAGTTGATCAATAATGCTTCTACTAACCCTATGAACTTATGGATCCCATCAGCCCAGTTGAGGCCAACAATTGGCATGTCTCATATGCCATTGTTCGCTACTTGGACCGATGCCTAAACCCCTGTGTGGTAAAAACTTGTAAAGTTCTTTTTTGGCATTAGTAACGGAAGAGAAAAAAGTAGGCTGAAGAAGAAAAAAAATATATATATACACGCGGAAAGGGAGAGGAAGTTACTTCAAGTTAGAAGATTGAAATGGGGGATTAATGGAAGTTGAGGTTGTGGGACCAATTTTCTGTCTGTAACCAAAGCTTAAAGAATTTATCAGACAGTCACTTTTGGCCCATATTGGACAAAGATTTTGCAAAATGGCGGGGGG